TTCTTAAGTTTCTATTCATATTATTTTGAATAAATATGATTTTTGAAGAGTTTTTAAACTTTTTTTATTGTTTTTGTTGTATATTCATACTAAAAGAGAGTAGAGATAGAGTAGAATCTAATCACTATCATCAGATAGTAAATTATAACTATTTTGAAAAGTAGAAATCTTAACTGCTTGTATTATATATAGTTTATTATCAGAGTCATTTCTCAATTCTCTAATCTTAACAGAAGTTTGAGAATTCAAATTCTGTTTACATTTAGCTGAAGAATTGAAGTTTGAAGATTTAGATAGTGAAGAGTTTCTTCTTTTTAAGCTTGAAGTTATAAGTTTACTGATCTGACTCTTCTCTTCAGTTCTAGATTAACTTTGAGCTTTATCTTTTCTTCAGTTCTTTTGAGTTCTTGAAGTAAATATACATTCTTTTGAGTTAGATGCATGTTTTTCTTTATAATTAGAGCACTTAAGCAGAGTGTATTGATATATTTCATCTCTTTTTAAACATGTTTCATATTTATACTCACCAGTTTTGTAATCTCTGCCACAGAATGCATATTTTGAGTCTCTAAAACATGAGATTGTAAAGTGTTCATATCTTTGACAGTTTAAACACTGTGTTTTAGCTTTGAGATTCATTCTTGAGTCTTTATATTCATGAACTTGTATTTTTAAACCTGCTACTCTTACTTCAGAGATCTTTAACTATTCAAGTATTTTTATATATACTAGAACAGAGGCATTTCTTCTACTTTATCTGAACTTAATTGAATTTAGTTATACAGACTCTTTTCTCAGTTGAATAGAGTTGTATTCTTTCAATTCATTTTTGAGAAGTAGTATTCCTTCTTCACAGTCAAAAATTTCAACTGAAATATTATAAAGAATGAATTTATCTCACTTTTCATCTCTCTTAGATAGAATTATTGTGTTTAGTAAAGATTCTACTGCTGACTTTCAGAGATTCTCATTCTGAATAAGAAATTCAGCTCTGAACTCAGGCATTGTAATCAGAATGATAAAGTTTTCAAAGAATGATGACTCAATTGAAGCTATAACTGATTTTTGAACTTCAATATCAGTTATCAACTGAGAAAAGAACTGCTGATTAATTTCATTTCTAATTCTGAAAATAAGATTTGAGTTTAGCTTGTTTCTTTGCAGAATGTTCTGATTTGAGACTTTGAGAATAAGTCTTCTATTTCTGAAGATTTGAAAGTTTTTCTCTTTTTACATTTTTTTCTTTACTTTTCTATGAATAGAAGTATGAGCAGTACTCTTCTCAGTTTTCTCAGAATTTTGAGCAGATTTTGAGATAGCAGGTTTAGAGACAGTAGATTCAGCTGCTTGAGCATATGTTTTCTTCTGATTCAAAGAAGAAGAAGAAGTAGAAAAAAAAGAAGAGTAAGATAAAGAGTCAGTGATTGTACTAGGAATTTTCAATGTTTTTTGAACTGTGTTTGAAATTTCAAGTTTGAACTTGATCATCTTCTGTAGTTGTCTAGTCTGAGTATGAAGAATTAACAGAACTTCTTTATTCATCTCACTCAGGCACTGCTTTTCAAGAATCTTGCTTACTTTTTCAAATTTCTATATTTCAAGAACTTGTTGTTTCTCTATTTCTTCTTTCTTTCTTCTCTTCAGAATTTCAATCTCAGAAATAGCATTTGAGAAAGCATCTTTTTTCACATTAACTGAGTGTATTTTTGAAATCATTATTCTCACTCAATGAAAAGTTGGTCAGACTGTTTCAATTGAGATATTTATTAAACTCTTTTGAAAAGTTGGTCAGACTGTTTCAATTAAGAGATTTCTAAGTAGACTGACCGTGTGACCGTGTCTGGGACCAGGACCAGATTTTTTGATAGTCTCATTACCAATTCGACTGATCCTATTACACAGTTTTAACATTAGATAGTAGTTTCATACTGTTCCAGTAGAACTTACTGTCTACTCTTGTCACATTTTTCAAATGAGACCATGATTTTCACTTCTCAATTTAAATTATTTTTATTGCTTTAAATGACTTTAAATCTCATTTGAGTGTTATCAAAAAGTGTTACTTTTTAAAAAATTAAAAATAGTCTAAAAAAAACCTTAAAATGTCTAAAAATAGTAACTTTATGCTAAGAATGAAACTAAATGAAATCAAATGAGACCACTTTCTTATTTTTTTCAAGTCATGATTTCATTTTAAGATCTGATATATAGTCACTTTACATGTTTTTTTAATAGCCAGTCCCAGCGGGATTCACGCCAAGAAATGTATGAGATCAGATCAAATGAGATCAAATGTGAAATTCATGATCCCAGCAGCCAGTCTATTTCTAAGTCTGTTTTCAATTGAAAAGTTGGTCAGACTGTTTCAAAAGAAGAATACAAGACTTTTATATATAAAATACCTGATTTTTTTCACACTAGTTCAGTAACTAGATTAGATTTTTAAAGAGAATCTAATAAACTAAAATTAATTTTTAAGATAAATCAATAAAATCTTTACAATCTCTTTCTTGAGATATAGTGAGAAAAAGTATGATATCAATTGATAATAAATCAGATAATATAACAGTTTTTAAGAGAAAAACTGACAAAAAATAAATCAATTTTTTGTAGAGAAATTAATTAAAACTATTTAATTTTATTCTAAATCATTCAATTCTTCTCACACAACAAGTGTGCAACTCAAATCAGTTAATAAAGAGTGTAAAAAAGAATTAAGTATTAATGAAAGCTCTTCAGTCACTGAAAAAGTAATTCTTACTTAAAAGAATATAAAATTATAATAGAAAACTGCTCTGTTTTTAATTCTTTGTAAGAATATTGTATAAAATTCAGAGAAAAACACCTTACTTTTTCAAGAGAAGTAAAAAACTATTTCTAAGATCTTTTTTTTTTGCATTAACTGCTGCAGAAGAATGAGATAGAAACTGTTAAGATATACACTACTATATACTCTCTATCAAGAGTTTCTCTCTTCAGAGTCTTGATATTATAGAGAATATAAGTCTGTTATTATTATTATTATTCTTTCATTATACTCATATGCAAGCGGAGCTTATGATGAGTCCTTGCGTGATGTTAAATACAGGTCAAGTGTTGATTATACAGAAGGAAATACAGGTGTTGAGACCACGCCAAGATAACAAGAACATAGGAAAATACAAAGAAGTGACAATTAAATACATGCGATAATAACTTCCCAGCCCAGGAACATAGAGCAATTCATTGAAGTGATTTGTACATCTCTGTATTTATTAGAAACCTGAGGTGCTTGAGTTCCGAATTTAATGTATCCCCTGTGGGTTTCGAACCCACGTGTCTTGGTTTCCCACGCCAAGGTGCTACCAGGTGGCCGTATTAACCATTCAGCCACTGAGGCAATATAAGTCTGTTTCTATATAATAATATAAATATTATCAGTAAGATGTAGAGAAACTGGTTATTTATATCTTAAAATAGAAGACTTTGTCAATGATTATATCAATATAGAGTTAATTCTCAAATTCAATAGAAATCTAGTGTTGCTGTTCTCAATTCCTTGCAGAATCTATTGAATATTGAGATATTAAAACTAGATTTAATATATCTCACTGTGCAGGGATTAAAAGCTCAGTCAGATCTTGAGATATACTGATTTTATAGTTGTTAATATGCTGTTGACTCATTGTTCACTGATTATGTATTGAATGCTGTTGCCGAGGTATCTTTTTGTATTTTTCTGCCAGGGATGGGCCAGATTGGGAAGGGCGGTACAAGAGTGGGACTTGGCATTGATGTTTTGAAACATCAAAGATGGACAGGGTTTTCATGATGATCACTTCTCAGATATCTCCACAATTACAGATCAGGGATCTTCCAAAATCAAGAAGATTGACACATATGGCTAGGTCTCTTCACCTTACAATTTGTATGGCAATTTGGCCCGGGGTTGTGGTGTGGTAGGGGTGAACGGGGGATAATCCCACACAGGAGTTTCAAACAATGTCTGGTTCACGTTTGGCTGGATATCTCCACCACCACACGGGGTATGCGGTCGGCGATGGGGTCAAAATGCTTGTATGATCGAGGGCTTTTCAATGGATCTATCGGCGGGTTCTTATTCGAAAAATCGAGCGAGTTCGTGGCGGAGCGCTTAAAAAATCTCTTATTGATAAATGATAGAAGACAATATTCTGTAATTAATACTATTCTTTTAGTTGTTTATAAAATTTAAATAGCAAAGAATGAAGATCTGATCTCAACTGCAGTTTTTATTGATATAAAAGATGCATTTAATCATGATAACTTTGAAACAGAACTTATATACATTAATTACAACTGAAAATCAGATAAAACTATATACTTATAAAACTGAATTTAACTACTATCTTCAAGATAATCTGATAAATTTACACATTAAATCAATTCTATAGTTATGAAAAATTGTTAAGAGTATATATTCAACTATTACACTGATAATATATAATATTCTAATAATTTCATTAGCAGAGATAAGAATAAAGTGAAAGTTTAACTTAAGTTAAGATATTTATCACTATTACTGAGAACAATTATAAGAAGAAATAATTGAGAAACTCATGATTGTAAAATATAAAATTATCAGACAGTCTAATACCTCTGATCACAGTATATCAGAGAAGTGTAGTTTTTATAAGAAAGTGAAGAATAAACTTATATAAAAATATATTTAGTTATTTCATGAGTATTATCAATAATTATTATCAAATTCTGATTATATAAGCAATCACTGAATAAACTGAATGAGACTGAATTTGATCTTCAGTCTCAGTCTCATTTCAATTTTAAAAGAATAATTATCTTTCACTATTTATTCTGAGAAATTACTTTTATTTCACTGTTCTTGAATTAAATCTGGTTATTTTTCACATTATTTCTGAAAGAAATGATTCATTTTTAGATTTTTTAATACTCAGTTCTAATGAGACTCACACTAAGAAATGTATGAGATCAGATCAAATGAAACTAAATGTGAAATTTATAATCTCATCAGCCAGTCTAATAGTATATATACTGTATAATATAAAGAAATAAATGAGTTTTTCTACTAACTACATAGATTTTCTTCTTTTTATCTCTATTTAATTTAAATATATAATATGTGAATTTCTTATATATTAGTTTAAAATGTGAAAAATATAATTAATAAATGACTTATAAATCTCTTATTATATTTCTATTCTGTATATAAAATTTCTTATAAAAGTGATGTATTTTAAAGATAAAGCTAATAATAGTAATAGAATTTTTTGAAATTTTTTTTCTCTCTCTATTATATAGTTTTTCTCTCTCTCTTTTTATCTATAATAGTGAGTATATAAAAGTATTATTTTTAAAAGATAATAAAGAACTTATTCTGATGTTTTTTTAATAAGTAATAAATATTTTTATAATGCAGCTGTAGTCTCTGTGACTGCTAAGAAGGCTAGATTAAAGACAGTGATGTTAATCAGCTGTAGAAATATTACTTTTATTATTATATCTTCTTCTGTATCTGTATTTCTTATGACTGTGATAATAGAAGCTGTATCTTGCAGTGAAGTATTATTCTTTCTATCAGTTAATTTAACAGTGTTTAATTCTTCTTCTACTCTCTCTGTCTCTTCTACTCTCTATATTACTGTTGTGACACTGCTCTCTCTTTCAATTAAGACAGTGATATATAACTAGACTGACTGTGTGACCGTGTCTGAAATCAGAACTAAAATATTTGATAGTCTCATTATTAAACTGACTATGTAACCGTGTCTCAGATCAGAACCAGAATATTTAATACTCTTATTATTAATTTAATTAATGTTATTACATAGTTTTAAGATTAGATAGTAGTCTCATACTGTCTATATAGAGTGTTAAAATATGTATATAGCTTAAGATATAAACTGCAGAGATCTTATTCTGTAGTTCTTTTCTTTTCTTTTCTATCTACTGTGTTTATCTTTAAGACTTTGTTTCTTTTCCTATGTCATGTTACTTTCTAAATAGATTCAAAAGTATTAGAAGATATTGAAAATGCTGTAATTTATAAGAGGTTTTTATGTTCTGAGCTGGAATTTTCTAATTTTGCATATTTGAAATTGATAAAATATATAATAATTAGTCTTACAGATACTAGAAAAACTCTGAGAACTACAAGTTTTCAGATAGATATTATAGTCTCTAACTATATACATCTATAATGAAAGAATAATAACAATAATAATAATCAGTGAGACTTACTGTCTACTCTTATTATATTTTTCAAATGAGATCATGATTTTCACTTCTCAATTTAAATTCATTTTATTGCTTTAAATGACTTTAAATCTCATTTGAGCATTATCAAAAATCGTTACTTTTTAAAAAATTAAAAATAGTCTAAAAGGAACCTTAAAATGTCTAAAAATAGTAACTTTATATCAAGAATAAGACTAAATGAGATTAAATGAGATCAGTTTCTTATTTTCTTTAAAATGAAATCACTTTCTTATTTTTTCTAAGTCATAGTCTTATTTTGAGATCTGATAAATAGTCACTTTGCATATTTTTTGATGATTAGTCTCAGCGGGATTCATACTAAGAAATGTATGAGATCAGATTAAATGAAATTAAATGTAAAATTCATAATTTTAATGACTAGTCTACTTATTATCAATTTAATTGATCTTATTATACAGTATTAAGATTAGATAGTAGTCTTATATTATCTCAGTAGAACTCACTATCTAGTTTTATCACATTTCTAAAATGAGATAATAATTTCCACTTCTTAATTTAAATTCATTTTATTACTTTAAATGACTTTAAATCTCATTTAAGTGTTATCAAATATTATTACTTTTTAAAAAATTAAAAATAGTCTAAACAAAACCTTAAAATGTCTAAAAATAGTAACTTTATGTCAAGAATGAGACTAAATAGAATCAAATGAGATCACTTTCTTATTTTTTTTAAGTTATAGTTTCATTTTAAGATCTGATAAATAGTTACCTTACATGTTTTTTTAATGATTAGTCTCAGCGGAATTCACATCAAGAAATGTATGAAATCAGATTAAATGAAATTAAACATGAAATTCATGATTCTGCTGACTAGTCTATATATAACTCTGTATAATCATTCAGAGAAAATTTTAAAGAGAGCTTGATTTCAGAGACAGTAGCTTAAAAGAGATTAATTCATAGTTTTTCTTTTATAGCATGTCTGAGCTCTGCTTACAGTACTGCTGAGTTGAGTTTATAGAGTTCAGTAATTTCTTTGTCTTCTCTCTGTAAAGAGGCTCTGATACAGTCTTTGACTGATACTATTACTTATCTACACTGTATTAAACAGCGAAAAAAAGAGAGAATTTTATATATTTATTTCTTCTCACACTCACACTGTTTTTATTACACTCAGAATAATGATATCTGTCTCTTTATAAGTATTACTCTTATAAGAAGATATTATATTAATTCTGATAAGAAGTTTAAATACTCAAGTAATACTGAGTAAGAGTTTCAGAGCTTTAAATATTGATAAATTCTATTAAGACTGAAAAGATTCTTTTTACTCATTTATAAAAGAAGATAAAAATGTGAATCTCTGAGATAAAAAAACATCTTAGAATAAATGATTTTTAAAAGAAAAAATTAATCAGTACTACTATTGAAAGTATCACAGATAGACTGACCGTGTGACTGTGTCTGAGATCAGAACTAGAATATTCGATGATTTCATTATTAATTTAACTGATCTCATTACATGATTTTAACATTAGATAGTAGTTTTATACTGTCTCAGTGAGACTTACTGTCTACTCTTATTACATTTTTCAAATAAGATTATGATTTTCACTTCTCAAATTAAATTGTTTTTATTGCTTTAAATGACTTTAAATCTCATTTGAGTGTTACCAAAAAGTGTTACTTTTTAAAAAATTAAAAATAGTCTAAAAAAACCCTAAAATGTCTAAAAATAGTAACTTTATGCTAAGAATGAAACTAAATAAGATTAAATGAAATCACTTTCTTGTTTTTTCTAAGTCATGATTTCATTTTGAGATCTGATATATAGTTGCTTTGTATGTTTTTTTAATAATTAGTCTTAGTGAGATTCACATCAAGAAATGTATGAAATTAGATTAAATAAAACTAAATATGAAATTCATAGTTCTGAGTAGACTGACTGTGTGACTGTGTCTGAGACCAGAACCAGAATTTTTAATAGTCTTAGAATCAATTTAACTGATTTCATTACATGATTTTAACACTAGATAGTAGTCTCATACTGTCTCAGTGAGACTTACTGTCTACTCTTATCACATTTTTCAAATAAGATCATGATTTTCACTTCTTAATTTAAATTATTTTTACTGCTTTAAATGACTTTAAATCTTATTTA